TTGTGGACAAAAAATGACCACGCCCATTTAGTGATTGCAATATGTACGTAATAGAAACCGCACCCCGAACTTGAGCTTTTGATCCCAATTTTTAAATATATACATTGTAATATAAACCGCGGTTTATAATAGGACTTTAACGGTATATCTTAAATTCAATAACTAACTGGGACTGTGCCATGCATGGCTTGTTTTTTTTTGTGTGAATTGTGATTCAAAATAAGTTTAACATTCAACTTTCTGATCACAGGTGGTGGAAAGCATGAAGTTTAAATTCAAGAGCGGAATGAAGTTAGAAGTGGTAGACAAAATGAGGATATCTCGAATGCGAGTGGCCATCATAGACGATGTGGTCGGTGGACGTCTCCAGTTGCAATATGCAGATAGTCATGACGACGATGACTTCTGGTGTCACATTAAGTCACCACTTCTACATCCGTGTGGCTGGTCTTCATATGTTGGCCATGACATTAATTCTACACAAGGTTAGTATAATGTTATTTTGCCATTATGGCATTAATATTAATTCAATAATAATAACCCAGAAATTAAAATCAGTGCCACAGTTGAGTCTTGTGTAAAAAACGACATACACACATATTAATTTATGCTTGTACTTGTGTACTCCCAACTTGTGTAGCTTTTTACAACTTGAAACTTGAAAATGTAGTATTTATTCACCTTACTCTTACTTACACGGTAGTGTTACATACAATTGTTTGCTTCACAGTATTTGTTTCATCAGAAATCTTTTCTCCCTCAGAATACAAACTGAAATCACTGAATAAAGCTATTACAAGAAAGTTAGAAGATGATGAAGCACCTTGGGAACTTTTCTTTAATGTAAGTTTTTTTGGTTGGCTTATGCTTTGATTTATCACAAATACCATCTCTTGTCAACATGTAATTGTGTTAAAAATTCAAGTGCTGTGACCAGGTATTGAAACATTAAAAACTGGTGTCATTTGCTCACAATGTAGGTTCCTCTACGACGTTATTACAATAGATGTACCATATTTGCTCTATTAGAAGCGCACACACTAATGTAAATGACAGATGTGTGTCTATGATCATGATAAGTCATATTTTTAATAATCAAGGATACAATAAATGCAATCTTTGGTTTGTGCGCTTTAATTGTAGATATTGCAAATATGATATCAGTATTTAATAGTTAATATGCTTGCTTTAGACATATTGTGAAACTGAGCAGTTCAAGGCTACTATGAAATCTACAATCAGAAAAATCAAATATGGTGAAATGTTGACAACCATGCCTCAAGTTTTGAAATTTGAATATACTGTAAAAGGATTAATTATTCACTGGGTTTGAAGTTCGTTTATTTCGCTGGCTGGAAAATGCGCGAAATTAAAACCCAGTGAGTATGTAAAATTTAGCATAGAACACATTATCTAAATGATAAAACCGTGAATTTAAAACCTACTGAATATGCCTGAAACGGTAAATCCGGAAAATTTAAACCCAGTGAAAATTAGTCATTTTACAGTACACTGACAATTAGCACCTATTTATATGACATACTATTCCTTGATCAGATTACAGTATTGTCAAAATATTTTATAAAATATAGAGATAATAATCATTTACCCGTTTAGTTTTAAACGTCTTAGACACATCATTTATATTATTATTTCATTGCATTTGATCTTCACAGGGAACAGAACCATCTAAGGGACAAAACTTTGAAGTTGGGATGAAACTAGAAGCAATAGATCCTCTCAACCTAGCCAATATTTGTGTTGCCACGGTGATGAAAGTATTGAAAAATAGTTACCTTATGATAGGTATCGATGGTTCAATGGCAGTTGATGGTTCTGATTGGTTTTGTTACCACGCTACATCACCCTGTGTGTTCCCAGCTGGTTTCTGTGAACTCAATAGTATTGATCTTACACCACCAAGAAGTAAGTTGTCTACCTTCATATCCTGTTCCCTATGCTCCAGTGTTTACTCCACTCCAATCACTTGTCTGCTGGGTTATCCTATACATATACTTGACTAGATTTCAATACACAGAAATACATATTTGTCAAATCATATTTTCTGTACACTACAGCGATTACAGGGTGTAATTTAGGTCTTGAACTTCACTGTTCTCATGAGTCTCAATTTGAAGACCACATTGTCTAAAAAATACTAAACTATATGAGTGTGAAGGAATATTTGGCTATTGGCAGTTCAAATCTTTCAGAGTTTCGCATTTCAGATCCCCATTATACAATCTGTCAGTTATCTTCAGTTTTATTATTACTGAAAATAATTCGTATTTCTCACTTATTCTTTCAGATTATAAAGGGAAGTTTAAGTGGTTAGATTATCTAATGGCAACCAAATCACAAGCTGCTCCAGTTAAACTATTTAATAGGGTATGTAGTTGTATCATTTATAGGCCATCATACCGGGACGTCATACGTTTACATTTTTGAAAACCGGCATGTGTGTGTGATAACAAATATCAACACAAACTAGAGATCTGCTGCAATAACATTGCCCATAAGTTGTTTTATTAACAGAAACATGTATGTATATTTAATAACAACATCAGTAAACAACACTGTTACTTTATCTTTGAGTGTGATCAGCAGTTCTTGCCAACCGGTCAATGTGATCGTGCAGAACATAAACAAGTGTGACAGCTTATTACCAGCTGGGCGGTTGTCCCTGGATAACCTCTACGGACACACTCCTAATTATGACAACATAGAAACATTTTACCATGCGTTAAACCTAGTCAATAAAATACACAGAAGTTGAAATTTGCATGACGTTGCATAAAAAGTCTTAAATTGGCAACCAGTCATTTTCATGTTGATTAGTACCGTAAAATCTGTATTAGAAGCCGCATCCCTAATAGAAGTCGCACCCATTCTTTTTGAATAATTTAGAATAAAAAATTCATCATTTCTCATATGTGTACATGCTCTAATAGAAGCCGCATCCCCTCTGTTGCATTGTACCATTTTAATAGAAGCCGCGGCTTCTAATACAGATTTTACAGTAGTGTTTCTGTGTTCACAACTGTTTGAAGATAAGATTTTGAAAATCTTTTGAAATATTTATAATAATCATATACATTATAGTTTACATTTATGTTGTCAATTAATCATGATTTAGACAAAATGAAGCAAAATAAAACTGTAAAATGATTGATTTAGTAGTGATGTTTTGTGTTTCTGGTAAACAAAATAGCACATTTATTTTTGTGCACATTGCGAGCTTTTGATCTATTCTAAGTGTGTGTTCACCATTTATGCCATTTCTATTTTTGCTAACATGAATTACATGGAATAGTCTATGAGTTTTTATACTAAGTAACTGATAATTTTTTTTAAAACTGTGACAGAAAATTCCCAAACATGGTTTCACAGTTGGTGCCAAACTAGAAGCAGTTGACTTGATGGAGCCTCACTTGGTATGCGTGGGTACGGTCACTAAAGTAGTCGGTAGATTGTTAAGAGTTCACTTTGATGGCTGGGACAAGATATATGATCAGTGGATAGACTGTCAGAGTCCAGATTTGTACCCTGTAGGCTGGTGTGAAGTGTTTAATTATGCACTGGAACCACCAAAGACTCAAGGTAGGCATTACACTACAGTCACGATGAATGGTGAAAAACAAATTTACTGTAAAACCATTTATTTTCACTATTTTGGTGCCTTTAGCAATTTCACTGGGTTTTAAAGTTCACAAATTTGGCGGAGAAACAGTGTGTTCTATTGTTATTTTACATTTTCACATGGATTTAATTTAAATAGCGAATTTCACTTAAAGGGGAACCGCTCAATCCCATAGATTGCACCACGTGCTTATGGGTAATTAACTCCGCCCCTGTCCACTAAGCAAATAAGTAAACTCAGAATTTTTACTTGTCGTGGCATGCTTCGACTGAAAACAACCACATTTATACATCAAAAGCTCAACCAGATGAGTGTAATCGCTAGTGTACATATTCATGCCCCTGTAGAAATGTATTTGGAATCATAGCTTGATATCTAAACATCATAAATGGCACATTTCCCGGAGCTCTTGTCACGATGTGAGCGGCTTGGTTCGGATTAGCATACTAATTGCAGTGGCCATCTTGCCCCTATTTATAGTATTTGTTCCCCTTTAATTGTGATAATAGCGAAATTAAAAACCAGCAAATAATGGGTTTACAGTATGGTATGTGTTGATTGAAAATTGACGTAATTTTAGATGAGTGAACAGTTGGTGTCTTCAAGTTTCAATTACGCGGCAAACACACAAATTATTTTACTTCTCATTCTCATAATTTCCTTATAATCACTATAATTATGTGTATTTTCAAGCCATATGAACAAGATCCTATGATAATACTGACCACAAAATGTATGTCATCCAGTTACTATCAAAATGTTTTCTGTGTCATGGATGATGTGTACTTCCAGTGGAGGACATAAAGAGTACCAATTTCCCTATATTTCAATACAGCAAATTTCACTGGAATCAATCAAGGCATAGTTAATTTTATGTCGATATGAGAATTGTGTACCATTACTAAGGTCATTGCATCTATTCACAGAGATTAAAGCACCACCACCTGTTCCTGTCAAACCACGGAAAAAGAAACCCAAGAATCAAAGTTACAAAGGTTCAAGGAAAAGTAAGTTTTGATGAGATTTTTGTTTTGACGCTTGGGTGGGTCGTAGAAAATGTTATACTTACCAGAATCCAAATTTCAACCACTGACACTATGTTTCCCGCTAAGAGTAATATAATGTTAGCCAATGTGTAAGCTTTCACTTTCTAACTCACCTTGCATTTTATGATTACAGAGAAGAAGCCACCACCCCCAAAGAAATCTCCAAAGGGATCCACCAAGTACTTCATGGATGATGGCACAGTGAATCCACCATACACCATATTACCTGCTAGTTCTGTTGCTGAAACCTTACCACCTGTGGAAAATTCCTCACATGATATTAAGCCTGATTTGACAAGTCTTATTCAGTCTCCTTCGAGTATTACACCAACACCTCCCACTTCTGTCAATATAGGTAAGACTGGTATAGTCATCATGGAGAGCTTTTCGTGTTATGCCTTGACATTTAAACTTTTAAACATTTTTGACTCTCGTGTGCGAAGCACAAAAGGGGAGTTTTTGCAGTTAGTGTGTCTGTCTGTCTGTGTATGTGTGTGTATGTCTGTTCCATCGATATCTCAAGAACCATACATTGTTTTTTGATGAAACTTTGTGCATAGATGCTCTGGGCCAATGTGCAGATTTGATTAGGTTTTGGTAAAAATCCATGCATATTAATTACCTAATTTGCATGATAATTAGCTGATTTTTAGCTGTCCATGACTGTTCCACTGATATCTAAAGAACCACTCATTGGATTCTTGGCACATAGATGCTCCAAACTAATGCACAGATTTGATTCATTTTGGGTAAAAATCTGCAATATTAATTACCTAATTTGCATAATGATTAATCAATTTTCGGCTTTTCCACTGATATCTCAAGTACTAATCATCACATTTCAATAAAACTTGGTACATAGATGTCATAGGACACTGCACAAACCTGATAGTTTTTAGGGTAATATCAGTACATATTAATTACCTAATTTGCATAATTAATTAATTATCAGCTTTTGACATTTCAATGAAACTTGGTACATAGTTACTTAAGGACTGTGCAGACCCCTGATTAGTTTTTGGGTAAATATTTGTGCATATTTATTACCTTATTAGCCAAATTAGTTAATTTTCAGCTTTTTGCCTGATATCTCAAGTACTAATCATCATATTTCAATGAGACTTGCTACATAGATCTTCTAGGACTATGCAGAGACCTGATTAGATTTATGGTAAATAATTGTGGATATTAATTACCTAATTTGCATAATTAGTTAATTGTTTCTATGAATGTTCCACTGATATATAAAGAACAACGAATTGGATTTTAATGAAACTTTTAAAGAGTACTCATCATCACATTTCAATGAATCTATAACTATGCAGATTAGTTTTTGGTAATTATTTATGCTTATTAATCACCTAATTAACATAATTAATTAACACTGATATCTCAATTACTGATCATCACATTTGAATAAAATTTGATACATAAATTCTCTAGGACAATAGACAGGCCTGATTAATTTTGGGTTAACATTTGTTCATATTAATTCTCTAATTAGCATAATAATTCATAATTTTTTTGTTCTGTTCTGTTCATATTAGTTACCTGATTTACATAATTAGTTTTTCATGTGTCTTCAATACTCTCAGCACACGGGAGTTCTTTCTAAGCTTTCTTTGATTACTGTGGAATACTTTATTTTCGCTGGAATTAATTTTCGCTGAAAAGACTTTTTAGGCGTTTTGTATGGAATTTATTTTCACTGATTTTTGATGAGCTTAATGTGAAATATAGGAAAAAAGGTATATTCGCTGAATTTTATTTTCACGGAATCATCCCTTCAGCGAAAATAGCGAAAATAAATTCCAAGCGAAAATAAAGTAATCTACAGTATAACTTTTATTTATATCTATTTTTAAGGTGAAAAATGCAGCAGTTTTAGAAATTATGATTGAATTTGTAACTTTTTTTTATTTTAGGGCATATCCATGTGAAGCAGGAAAGAATAGAAAGTATGGATGATTTAGCATCAAGGACAATTGGAAATGTGACTCCAGTTAGCGCTGATACATCATCTCCTGCCGTAATACAGAATACAGCAACAACCAATGAATTGTTATCACAGATAATGTCTTTCAATAGGGCACAGCAACCAGCAATGTCAACGGAAATCTTCAATCCCACGGGATTATCCCTGCCGAATTTTGGTACTTTTGCCACAGCAACCAATAGGCCGATGCAGGCTACCATCAGTGCCGATGGTGTGTTAGGAATCACGGAACAAGCACTGGGGAATAATCTTGAAAGGCTGTCTGCGAATACAAGTAATGTGCTGCAGATGGGTCAAAATTTATCAACAGTTTTATCAGGGTCGAATGGCGGGAACCCTGCAAGTACTATGCATCAGTTTTCCGCCAACTTAAACATTCCAAATACAGTGAATAACAATTCAGGTTATGGGAGCTCCTCTCCGGGACAACAAGCAAATATTATTTCCTCGCCACATTCATCGCCTGTGGAGAGCCCAATTGCATCACGTACCATGCCGGCATTGTCTGCTATACCTACTCCCCCGGTGTTGAACACAATGGCGCCCTCTATGGCCACTGCCAATATGCCACCATTGTCAATACCGAGTACTACGATCTATAATCGAATGCCCCCGCTATCAGCACCATTAAGTAGCCTTCCAAATATGGGTAACAATATTCCCACTACTACAATGTCAAATAACTTGCAGAGGCCACAATCTTTTCCAAGTCATATCAGGCCGCCTATTATGACGACTACTGTGACAAGTACAATCACAAACATGCCTGTCACAGCATCTATGTTAGGACATATGAACAATCTGGGTGTAGCGGCTGCTGGTTTAAGTGTTAACCAGCAAGGTGTCTCCCAGTTAAAAGGAATGCAATCTATTGCAACGTTAGCTTCTCCTGTGCTCACCCCGTCTGTGGATTACGACTGCTCTGAACCATCAAGGTGGGGTACAGTGGAAGTAATGCAGTTCTTAAAAGAAAATGAATGTGGTGCTTACACAGAAAGTTTTCGAAAACAGGTGAGTTATTTGGTTTTGGGGCTCCCATCTTCATTCAACATCGTGTCTTTTCACTGATTGAGGAAATCAACAAATAATAAAAATATAAATTACATATTGTTTGTTATTTCCCCCTGGCAATACAAACAGTACTCGTACTTAAGTTTACTTTAAGGGCACATATCATGTATGTACTGCCAAGAGTATGTCAAGCAATGCATTTGTTTTGTATTCCACTTTACCTTTCTGCAAATAATAATAATAGTGAGGTTTGCACCATAGTAGGTGATAAAATTGTTAATGTTCTCGAGGCTACTATCTCCAGTCATTGTCAAACTGGCATATCATTCAGTATAAAACCTTGATCATGTTCCAGTTTTTAAATCAATTTATAATAATTAAGAAAGAATTGACACTGCTTTAGCAGGTGATGTGTTCAATTGCCTGAGTAATTGTTATCCAATAGTCATCAATTATGAAATTTTTACCAAATTTGTTTTTCGTGTTATTGTTCAGGATTTTGCGATTCACACCAGGGATTTTTTTAAACAAGGGAACAGGGGTGCAGCGCCCTCATGCCATGGCCATGTGCCCCCTTAGCAGATTCTCTGGCAACCATAAAATTCTGATTGACCAGGGATCACAACTGTGACCTGTCTAATAGTAATTTTGGCCCCCAAGAAAGCCATAGAATGCTCCATTTTAATTTAGAATTATCAAAAACTCCACACCCTGGTAGGGAAAACCCTATCTCCCTCACTTGGTGGTGCCACAGAATTGCAGTGCTCTCTCTTGCAGTTTTTTTCTAGATAAACCCCTGCACATCATATTACATTAACTTCAACGTGCTTGTTTTCAACAGCAAATTGATGGTAAAAAGCTGCTGTCTTTGACAAAGGAACAAATCTGTAACTTGACCGGAATGAAAGTGGGTCCATCACTAAAGATCTATGAACACATTCAACAGCTGAAAGCCAGACTTGCTAAGCAGTAACAGTAATGTCCAAGAAGAAATGTGGAAATAATTGCCCTATCAATTAGGTTTTTACAAATATCTACATGATGCTATCGAGCTGGTTTTATTTTTAGACAAACATATTAGTAATTTTTTCTGAACATTATACTACTGTGTCTACTGATGTGTTGCACTGAACTTGTTGACTTTGTGCTGGCAAGTAAAGCACTACTCCAGTGACTCGTATATTACCTTTTATGGGGGATGGGGGGTCTTCCGAGCATGAAACTCTGAACATTAAGTCTGATAGCTTTACAAGGATATATATATATTGTGTTGCAGCCTTCTATGTCAGGCATGAATATAAGACTGTAAAAATAAATTCCTCAATTCCATAATGAGCATGTATCAGTTACCCAAAAGTTTGACACTGGCAGTTGACAAAGTATTGACCTTGATCCTTTATTTTCTAAACTTTACAATTCATGTAGTGGTTGATTTATTGAATTTTGTCCAATGGACTAGGTGAACATTTGATACGTTTTCTTTGCAATACATTATTGTAATGTCAGAGGTTGAAGAAATTTACCATAGTTATCTACATTACCCAATATTCAAACAAAATAAACTTTTGACATTAAAAAAAAAAAATGTTGTAATATAAATTATCTATGAGATATATATGAAAATTGCCAAATTTAGTTTATAAGTTTGAATTTTAAAGTTTTCCTATCATGTCTACATAATGTGAAGTTAAATGAAAAACAAAACTTTTTGCTCCAATATATTTTCCCATGTAGCAATTTATTCCAGTCTGATATTGTGCATAAACATTTCTTTAGGGAATACCATATTTAATTCAACCTGTAGATAAGTTGAGACCATTTGGCGATGTGCAAACCAGATTTTCCCTCTGTTTTGTTATATTTTTTTTTTTATATATTTTGGTAACAAGTAACAGTGAACAAAAGAGTCCTTCCCTTTCCAACAGTATACTGCACTTAATATTTTGCATTTGAAACGGGTTTTGTAATAAAAGAAAATGATTAAAAACAAAATTTTAAATGCATGTTAAGATATTCTCTTGCATCAGTGGTTCCCACATGTGTTTTGTATTCAGTTTTCAGCCATGAACAATAGAAATAACAAACTCTTTTCTCATGTTATACTGTTTTTATGATCCATTTAACGTTTTGGATGTTATGTGTGTACTTCTGGTTCTCATTCCCAGCTATTGCAATGTGAATAATATGAGTGATCAACTCATTTCAATTTGAAATTTATGGAAACCATGAAAGGATACCTTTTGTTCGATTGTAGTCCATCTGGCTGCGTTTGACCCATTCCCCTGTGACACCAACTGTATTTCCCCTGTTAAAAGCACATCTCTGATGTAAACCAAAAGTCCTCTTGGCAATATACTAAATCATTGAAATTTTACTTATTTTGACCATAGCAGGATCTCTGTAATTTACAGCTTGTGTTCTACTTATAGAGCATATACAGTATTCAGTATAATTGCCTTCATCATTTGGGAGAAAACAAACAAAAATAAATTGCTCATTTCAGGATAATGTATATGTAAATTCTTGCTCTCTGAGATCATTCCTATATTTTATGGGGAATCTTTGGACGAATGTATTTGTAATATGTATGGATTGCAGCGGAATTACCCTGAACCACAGTGATTCGGAACAGGTGAATCAATTCAAATATGTCAATAAATGAAATTCATTGAAATTTAAACTTTCTATGCATTTCATGCAAATTCAGATCTCAAATCATTGTGATGTGTTGGATATGGGACCCAAACAAAGTATAAAATGCATGTGCAGTACAATGTTTATTGCATGACGGTCACAGTCCTGTAGTTGTATCAAGATCCAAAACAGAGCTTTGGATCTATGAGTGCAGAATCTTTCTACTCAGAACCCTCATTGTGAGTAGAAAAGTTCTACTCACCTGTTAGTAAAATTAAATGGCAAAATTATTGATTTTACCATCAAATAAAGTTCCACTTGTATAACTTTATTGGGGTATTGCGACTATTATATGAAATCTTTCAAATTTCTATGTGCTTCAGCATGTCTGAGTGCTGGTAATTGTTTGTTGAAATTTCATTTGCAAACATTTTTATTTCAAGACGTATGGATTCACAAAGATTTGTTTCTGTTCAGAAATACCGCAAGCTGCAGTAATCAAAAACAAGCTAGAATCCTGGCATTAATTCCTGCAGTATATGACATTTATATCGTCAAATAGTCGGGTCTGAAATCCCAATAAAGCTCTATGAATGATCTCAGAATGCAACGTTAGTGCGTAGCCATTCTAATTATTTGCAGTAGATTACATATTTTACCTTAAGTTAATTCAGTTGAATACAAATAATATTCAACTGGTTCAAATTGCTTCAGGATCCATGCTTATGGCGTACAGATATTACTATTATGCTGTATACTTTACTAGCCCTTTTAACTGAAATAATCCCATTTTAGGGCCATTAAATATTTATATAAAAGAAAATATTGTGGAATTATTTAAAGAAGATTTCACTCGAAAATTTGTTCTGTCCACAGGCTAGCTAAATTAGAACTTAGCTTAATGTAAATTGAAATATTGTGTTCTTTTGTACAGTTATTTTCTTCATCTTAATATGTACATAATACTATGAATTTGTTTATTGTGCTAGTGTTTTTTCTAGATTATATGTCAATTATTTCTTCGTTTTCCTTTTTGTATCTTCCAGCTTAGTAGAGTTCAGTTTTCCAGAGTCTGTGATAAGGGTTAATTGACGTTGAATGTATTCTTCTCTCATCTTCAGATATACCTGCTCGCTATAACTAAATGTACCTATTTTAAGGCGTGCATCATGCAAAGGGTACATATTCACAGGGAATAATTTTATGTGGATTTGATGTTGCATGAATATGAACTAGCCTTTTAAATTCACTGCTTTGTGATGGAAACAACACATTCTAGTTATTAAACTGCATTATTTATTTTAATTTAGCTATCAACGAATAAGGGAAAATAAAAGCTAACTAATTATTAAGGCCTTGTACAGTATAGTGAAGTACAGTATCATTTGTCCCTCTGGGTTTATCTCTTCTTTAACTTTGCAAAGCCTGATCAGGCCTTTAACATAGTGCATAATATAGGTCAAACTGACATTTTGGATCTGGAGGAAATATTTTTTTTTGCACATATTTTAAAGGGTGTTGAATACTTTTATAGATTGTATTTAATGCATCCACCCAAATATTACCTTGTGAGAGTGAATTGACTCCAAACGTTGATAGTTTGGTATGTACTCCAAGCCCACTGAAGGCAATTGTTAAATAAAACAGAATAACTTTTCATAATGCCTGATTACCCAAAATTATAATTTTACACTCACACTTCAATTCCATAGTAAAATTCCATGTTCCAGTATTCCCTACTTCTTCATTAAAGTTTAGCCTGTTGTGGTCACCAGCCTATTTTTTGAGAAAATGATGGTTGTATTTTAATGAATGGCAGCCATTTTGTCGGTAGAAGAATGCTCTTGCAAGTACCTATGCTCTTATGATGGAGGCATTTAGAGGTTATTTCGGCAAATCAAATTATATCTTCATGAGTTGCCACTGGCGAAGAGTGAAAATGTCAAGGGATTTTTTTTGACTCCCGTGTGCGAAGCACAAAAGGGAGTCTTTGCAGTTACCCTGTCTGTCTGTCTGTCTGTCTGTCTGTCTGTCTGTCTGTCTGTATGTATGTATGTATGTATGTCACTTTTTTTGTTCCACCGTTATCTCAAGAACTACTAATCAAATTTTGGTGAAACTTGGTACATATATGCTCTGGGATAATGCACAGAGTTGATTAGGTTTTGGGTAAAATTCTATGAATATTAATTACTTAATTTGAATGATAACTGATTTCAAGCTGTTCCATGACTGTTCCACTGATATTTGAAGAACCACTCATTAGATTTTGATGAAACTTGGCACATGGATGCTCTGAACCAATACGCAGATTTCATTAGTTTTGGGTAAAAATCTATGAATATTAATTACCTAATTTGCTTAACAATTAACTGATTTTAAGCTGTTCCACTGATTTTTGAAGAACCACTCATTGGATTTCAATGAAACTTGGCACATGGATGTTCTGAACTAATGCGCAGATTTGATTAGTTTCGGGTAAAAATCTGCTAATATTATTAATTACCTAATTTACATAATGATTAATCAATTTTCGGCTTTTCCACTGATATCTCAAGTACTAATCAAAACATTTCAATAAAACTTGGTACATAGAAGTCATATGACACTGCACAGACCTGATAGTTTTAGGGTAATATCAGTACATATTAATTACCTAATTTGCATAATTAATTAATTTTCAGCTTTTGATATTTTGAGTAGTAATGACCATGTTTCAATGAAACTTGGTACATAGTTACTTGAGGACTGTGCAGAGACCTAATTAGTTTTTGGGTAAATATTTGTGCATATTAATCACCTTATTAGCTAATTAGTTAATTTTCAGCTTTTTATCTGATATCTCAAGTACTAATCATTACATTTCAATGAGACTTGCGACATAGATATTCTAGGACTATGCAGAGACCTGATTAATTTTGGGATAAATAATTGTGCCTATTAATTACCTAATTTGCATAATTAGTTAATTTTTTGCTGTTCTATGGCTGTTGCACTGATGTCTAAAAACCACTCATTGCATTTCATTGAAACTTTTAAAGAGTACCCATCACATTTCAATGAACCTAGGACTATGCACCATATTAGTTTTTGGTAAATATTTATGCTTTTTAATCACCTAATTAACATAATTAATTAATACTGATATCTTAAGTATACTATTGATCATCACATTTGAATAAACCTTGGTAAATAAATGCTCTAGGACAATAGACAGCCTGATTAATTTTGGGTTAAAATCTGTTCATATTAATTCTCTAATTAGCATAATAAATAATATTTTTTTGGTTCTAATCACATTTCAATGAAACTTGGTACATTGTGCAGACCTTATTAGTTTTACACTTAAATCTGTTCATATTAGTTACCTTATTTGCATAATTAGTTTTCTGTGTTTCCAACAACATCTCAAGTTCAAGTAATTTTGAATTAATTTTTAATGTGTCTCCAATACTCTCAGCACACGGGAGTTCTTTCTAAGCTTTCTTTGATTTGTCTTTGTATTATACATGGAATTCCTTTATTTGAGATGATACCATTAGTTTTGATAAGTTTGAAA